TATTACTATATAATATTATTACTATATAATATTATTACTATATAATATTATTACTATATAATATTATTACTATATAATATTATTACTATATAATAGTAATAGATATAATAATATATATAATATAATATTAATATATAATAACAATAATAAATAATAGAAGCGACAGATAGAATACACCTAATATAACATTATATTAGTAGAGGAATATAATCTTAGCAAGTCTGGGAACCAGACTATGGAAGGGGGGGAAGAGTTGTAAGGAACTAAGTAGGAATATATATATAGTATAGCTATACTTAAACTATAGGTTATATACTCTAGGGAAAAGTAGTATTTAAGCTATATATAGTATCTACCTTAGTTTTACTCCTTAATCATCAGTTTTAATACTAATCCATACTCTTTGCTCCCCATCCTGATATCACACTTCCATTTACCCCTTATAATTCTGATGACTGAGGAGTAAAACTAAGGTGGATACTATACGTAGCTTAAATACTGCTTCCCCCTGGAGCACGTGACCCGCGGCCTGAGCGCAGCTGTACCGTGCGTATGTTCCCCCTCCGTTCCTCACAATATCCTAATTAGAATAATTAAAGGAGAGTTCTATAAAGGAACCCTTATAGTAATAGGGGGTAGAGCTACCTTAATAAGGTTACTATAGATAGAAAAGAAGTGGCAGTATAATACTGCTGGTAAGAGGAGGTAGTATAATTAAGGGAGGAATTAAATCTAAAGACCTGGTAACTATAGTAATAAGATAAGAAGATAAGTTTAGATAGGATCTAAGGGATGCCCCCTGAACGGCCTAGCAACGCACCCAAAGAGTGAGACATTGATAAACCTTATCTTATACCTAATAAATAAATGCCTGATTTCCTTAAAGACGCTATGGTTTATATATATATATAGTATATATATGCATGCAGGAGTGAAAGGTTAAAAGAATTATAGAATATAATAGAATTTAAATTTTTACTAAATATTAAAACTATAATATTATTACTATATAATAGTAATAAATATAATAATATATATAATATAATACTAATATATAATAATAATAAATAGCAGAAATAATAGATAGAATACACCTAATATAATATTATACTGGAAGAGGAATAAAACTCAGTAAGTCTAGGGACCAGACTATGGAAGGGGGCGGAGAGTTATAAGGAACTGAGTAGGAATATATATATAGTATAGCTGTGCTTAGGCCACGGGTTATATATTCTAGGGGGAAGCAGTATTTAAGTTATATATAATATCCACCTTAGTTTTATATCTTGGTTATTAGTTTTAATATTAATCCATACTTATTGCTCCCCATCCTGATGTCACGCTTACATTCACCCCTTACACTACCCTTATTATAGCTCTCTGTAATTCAACTATCTAGTTTATCTAATAGTTAATTTAAATATATTTTTATACTCTTAAAGTTTATACTATTCTAAGCTATAAATATAACTATCTTATTATTAGTCCTTTAATAATAAGCCCTAGTTATACATTATTTCTTTGCTCTAGGAAGCTAATCCCTTCCGAAGTGGCTTACATTAGTAAAGCTAGTCAGTATTGGAAAGATATTCCTAACAATATTATTCCCCATCTTGGTATCACGCTTACATCAACTCCTTACACTTCTATTATTATAAGTTTATAGCTAACTAGCTAGTAATTAACATGTCTAATATATCCATAAACACCACTATATAAGGTGCTCCCAGGCACACCACAAAGCTATATAGTAGCTTAAATTAATAGATTTAATTAAGAATTAATTACTTAAAACTACTAATAAAAAATTTCCTTTATTCTAAACCGATTCAGTATAATAATAAATCTCAGTATTATACGACTTGGTGGTGAATTACGTTAATCACTAGCAAATATAATACCAATGGTCGAAAGCTCGTTCACCTTCTTACTATTCCCCTCCAGGCCGGCTAAGGTTGCCTCATCCATTCCAGGGATGACCATCTCGAAGGTATCTCGTACGACCGCATACTCGTAATACCCACACCTCGCGATAGGCTCCATCTTTCTTATATCCAGCTTCCCATCTGTCAGAACGTTATCGTCGATGTATATTCCCATGACTTTACCAATGACGATGTCGACTGATCCCATCGGTGGATTACCTGGGAGACGAATAGTGCTGTGGTATTTACATTCAAATCGCACAGGGCTTGCCTTCACCATTGGGACGGGATTCGTCTCATCGCCGTATAACACACTCGAAAAGCACTTCTCCAGGTTTGCGCGCTCGAACTCATCAACACTATACTCAACTTGCTCGGCAGAGATGTTCATATGTTCCCTCAGCTTCCATGTTGCGAGATTCCAGCAGAATTTGCCTGTTGCTTCGGCATTGATAACAGTATCTTTTCGTCGGTTTAAAGGGGTTTGGTTTGCGCTGAACATAACGTAAGGTGGGTCAAACGTGAGATTGTTGAACTGGGAGAAAGGTGCTAAATTGTGTTTTTGGCCATCCGGTGAGGTTGTTGAGATCCAACCAATCGGCCTGGGGACGACACATGCTTTAAATGGATCATGAGGCAGCTGGTGGTGCGTCTTCTCAGGTTCGTAGAAGACCATCTTCGTATGCGCAGGCGTGAAGGAGTCTTATTCTCTAGTAAGAGAGGCTCGGGAAGGTTTTATTGACGGCTGAGAAAAACTGATGATGATTGTACTGCCAAATTAGGTGAGATACTCAGTTTGGACTTGAATCCGACAAAAGTGATCTTATATTGTTAAATATGATGATGAGATGAAGATCAAGACGAATTGGAAGAATTGCTTCCATTACCGGCATGCAATGCCGACGATTATAAAACGTGGGGTAGTATGTGATTAATTCCTAGGGCTTCCGATTACTCAATACTCGAGCCTAAAATAGAAAATATCTCGTATGCTATTTAATCATCTCCATAATCTTAGGGAGACTAAGATATTGGTGAGACGTGTTGATGTTCCCTAATGTGAGAGTACGAAACTCTTCCATAGGAAAGAACCGAAGCAAGGCCAGAAGTACCTGATGCAGAGGCAAAGCGGAACTTTCGGCTCCCATGTAGGTGACTTACTTTTTTTGAAACGTTCAGCAGTGTTGGACCCCTTTGAAGAACAAATAGCACTAATATATTGAAGATAGTTGGCATATAACCTCGCAATCATGAGGCCGAGGTTATGTCTAGCATTGAAAGCTTTGACCGCACCTTAACTTACAGGACATCAACACAGTTGTTCTCCAACAATGTCATCTCCAGCTACAGCGGACCCGCACCGACCGTCTCTAACAGCATCGCCGCGAACTGATCTTCTCCCTTCCCTATTTAACCATAGTGATGAAACAATAGAGGACGATCTTCAGCATAGTAAAGACTCCGGAGACACACGAAGTCGAGAACCGCCGTTCGACTACATCGAGCCAAAAAATGGTTCTCTACTACCGCCTCCGGGCTTTACACCGTTTTTTACTATGATTATGGATGTGGAGAGTGGAGAAACATACCATCCTAGCACATATTACATATTTGCAGATGATGAACCGGACATGCTAAGTTCTGCAGCTTTGCAAGCTTTAGATTCGTACTTACCTCATGTTCGGGAAGAGTTGGATGTTGGGGCACAAAAATTAAAATCAATAACTGAGGAGGAGAGGATCATTCTTGTATCACTTAATCCAGAAGGCAATAACGTTATGAATGCAACGAGCCTTGCTCCGGACTGGACGATTACAAATGCTGAGATCAGACCTGCACCTACATTTGATGGCAATGAGGAGCAAAGCGGCGATGGTTTGATGCTCATGATCGAGGGTTTGGGGTCTTCTGCAACCTCAAGCGCTCAGGCCGTTACCGACCGGAGGGAGAGACGCATTAAGGCGAAAGATTTGTTTGAGGAGATGAGACGGAAAGGGGGAGGCAGTATAATTAGCATTATGGAAGATCTAGCACAAGGAATGATTTATAATATGCGCACACTAGATAAAGTAACGAGTTGGGGTTGATTTATACTGATACTTTACTTTTAGCTAAATTAGTATAGAGTAAGGCAAGTATAGGATAATTATACTGCTTTAAATAACCTATTTTATGACTATTTTGTTTCATTATATAGGGTCTAGACCTCAAATATACAACAACCCCAGTGTAAGGAATACTTTCCCAATACCGACTGGCTTCATTAATGTAAACCACTTCGGAAGGGTTTAGCTTCCTAAAGCAAAGGAATAAGGTATAGGGTCTAGACCCCAAATACGCAATAACCCCAGATATGCAACACTAAACGCATTCTTGTTACACTCTAGACATATTTATTACCCTAATGCTATTTTAAGGATTTAAAAAACCAGTAAATGTGAGGAACTGAGTGGGGAACATACGCACGATACAGCTGCGCTCAGGCTGTGGGTCATATGCTCCAGGGGGAAGTAGTATTTAAGCTAAATATAATATCTACCTTAATTTTACTCTTTAATTATTAGTTTTAATATTGATCTATACTTTTTACTGTACTGGGGAAAATGGTTCATACTCTAAAGGGCATCACGTGATACAGGAGCAAGGGCCTTAGGTGTTATATGATATGGTGAGGATATTGTACTGGGGAAAATGGTTCATACTCTGAAGGGCATTATATGATATAGGAGTAAGGGTCTTAGATATCATATAATATAGTAAGGATATATAAGAAAAGAAGGATAAGGAAGATAAAAGGGAGAGATATAATAACCTTAAACAAAAATAATATAACAGAAACCAGCTTTACTTTACCTTGTACAGAACTTCGCTTTGCTTTACCCTGCTTTACCTTACTTTACTTTGCTTTATCTTTACTTTAATCTTCCCTATTTACTTTATCTTCTTTTATATCCTTATCTTAACTATCTTATTTTACTTTTAAGCTTCTTTATAGTTCCTATCTGTAGGAGGCTTCTCTCTCCCTCTTAATTTTCTCACCCTTAGGAAGGCCTTGACAGCGAGTGTCCTAACAGAGGAGGAACATACGCACTGTGAGGAACGGAGTAGGAACATACGCACGGTACAGCTGCGCTCAGGCCGCGGGTCATGTGCTCCAGGGGAAGCAGTATTTAAGCTATATATAATATCTACCTTAATTTAACTCTTTAATTATTAATTTTAATATTAATCTATATTTATTACTCCCTATCCTAATATTATACTTATATTTACCCCTTATAATTCTGACAACTCTTTGCCAAAATAAAGATATAGGCCTAATATTAGGATATTAGAATAATTATATAATAATAGTATCTTTATACCTATTATTAAATCAGAATTTTTATTATTAATATTATTAATTAATAAGTAAATTAGGGAACTAAAGAAAAGAGAAGCAGACCTTTAAAGAAAGATCTAACTTAAAGAATTAAAAGAGAGAGTAGTATAAATAGAGGCTATAATTAAAAAGTAGTTAACTTATAATACCCTTATTACTATTAAAGATAGTTAATTAGAAAATACTAGTACTAAAACCCCTAAATTAATATTATTAAGCACCCTACCCTAAGGGAAGGACATCCACCTAAAGGACCTCTTAAAGTATAAAGGAAAAATATTATAGAAGTATAATATTCTTAGTATATTCTAATATTATATAAATAATATTCTATATCTATTTCTAAATATTTTCTGCACTATATATATTAATAATATCCTTATATATAGCAATAGTTTAAAGGAATATAAGGAATATATATAACTAGTATTAAAGGTATTAGAGATTATAGATCTCTAGCTTAATATTAATAAGTATAAGTTCTATTAATAGGAGGTAAAATATTTAAACCTAATTTTAATTATAAATAGTATTAAAATAGATTCTAAGAAAATCTCTACTATTTTAGATTAGGAAGCCCCCTAGAATATTAAGGATATTTATAGGTTCCTAAGTTTCGCAAACTTTTACTGCTATTTTATTAATAATTTCTTAATACTAGCTACCCTACTTATTTAACTTACTTAAAAGGATATCCCCTTTCTCTAGATAACTACCTACTAGAAGATCTTTAATTATTTAAAAATAGCCTTTATTATAGTATCTATCTTATAATACTTTAACCCCTTACTACCCTATATAGTAGAAACAGATTTCTCTAACTACTGCTTAGAAGGGGTACTATTATAAGAGGATAGTGAAGGAGTCCTTTACCCTATTACTTACTTCTTAAAAAGACTAAGCCTAGCTAAATATAACTATAAAATTTATAATAAAGAGTTATTAGTTATTATTTAATATTTTAAATAATAGTAACTTAAACTAGAAGGAATAGTATATCCTATAAAAATACTAAGTAATTATAAGAACCTATAATACTTCTATACTATAAAATAGCTTAACTATAGATAAGTTTAATAGTTAGAGTACTTATTATACTTTAACTTCAGAATTATATACTAATCAGGCACCTAGGGCCAAAAACCTAATACCCTAATATAATATTTTTAGGACCAGTCTATTTAAAAGGAGGTCTATTATTTTTATTAGTAAATATTATTATAACCAGAAATCTTCAACTTTAGGCTAATAGAAATAGACTAATTAATTAAGTAGATTATTAAGGAGGAATATACTAATAATAAATTTATTACTAAGGTCTATTATTAACTTAGTAAGGGCGAGCGTAAATCAAAACTAATTACTCTAGCTAAATATAAGGTTATTAATAACTACCTATATTATAGAGGCTGAATAGTAGTCCCTGATAATAATAAACTAAAGATTAAACTACTCTAATATATATATAACTCTCCTATTAAGGGCTATTTTAATTATTCTTAGACTCTGGAACTTCTATCATGCTATTATTATGTTAGGAATACTTTCCCAATACCGACTAGCTTTACTAATGTAAGCTACTTCGGAAGGGATTAGCTTCCTAGAGTAAAGGAATAATATATAATAAGAGCTTATTGTGGAAGGAGTATAATAAGATAGTTATATTTATAACTTAGAATAGTATGAGCTTCAAGAGTATAAGAAAATATTTAAACTAACTACTAGATAAACTAGATAGTTAAATCATAAAGAGATATAATAGTGATAGAGACAGGATGTTTATATAGACCTTATTCCTGGTATCTTTGTTGCCTGGCCTGAAGTGATTATTTTAATCATTCTTAAGCAAAATAATCGCTTTAACTAATTAGTGATATCTTAATCCTTAACTATTAGCTAATATATTTATTCTGCTTATTATTAAGTAAAATGATTGCTCCTACCAATTAGTAGTACCTTAAATCCGTTTATATATTATCTTATAATACTATTCCCCTCCTTAATAAGCTTATCCTAAGCTTTATACTTAAGGAGTTGTTACGAAGTAACAAGTCACGTAAGAAAAGTGATCAGTCTGATTAAGGAATGATCAGAATAATTAGCTTATATTAGTCAGGAAGTGTTATTGGCTTAGCGAGAATAAGCGAATAAGATATATAGGAATAATCATCTTGATTATAGGATAATCAGAGTAATTGCTTATTTTCTATATCTATAAAAGAAGGAGGAATTCTCTTATTTTAAATATTATAATTTAACTATCTAGTTTACCTAATAATTAGTTTAAATATATTTTTTTACTCTTAAAGCTTAGACTACTCTAAGTTATAAATATAATTACCTTATTATATTCCTTTCTTAATAAGCTCTTGTTATATATTATTCCTCTACTTTAGGAAGTTAAACCCTTCTAAAGTAACTTATATTAGTAAAGCTAATTAGTATTAGGAAAGTATTCCTAATAAAAGTTAAATTACTAAATTATTAGATAGGGTAAAAAATAATATTTTATATCTACTATCTCTAAGAGAAGTAGTAAAAGTTAACAACAGTCTAGTCTACTAAAGAAGAAGGTTAAGGTTACTTTAAAGATAAGTACTACTAGATTATTAATATATAGAATAATAGTACCTCTACCTCTATTATTACTAAGAGATCCGGAAATCTTACTAGATATCTAATTATCTAACAACTCTGATCTATCTAACTTAAACTCTAATTCTAAAAGTAAGAACCTCTTTAACAATAATATAGCTTAACCTAAAATTAATCTACCTAAACCTTTTAAAGGGGAATAATCTAAATATAAAGCTTTTAAGTCTTAGCTTGGAATTTATATCTATTAGAATTAGGATAAGCTTAAAACTAAAGAAAAGAAAGTTATATATACTATTTCCTATTTAAGAGGAAATACATATACCTGGATCTAGAGGCAAGTTAATTAATATATCCTGAAGAAGGGAAATATTCTATATAATATTAAAAGGATTTTCTAAAACTATTTAATATTTATAGGAGAAATAGATTAGTACTTCTAGTAAGTTAATAAGGCTTATCTAGCTAAAAAGAAATTATTAGAACTATATTAAAAGTTAGATGTAAGCTCCTACGCGGTTAAATTTAAAAAATAGGTAGTAATTTTAAAATAGAATAATAATATATTCTATATTAAGTTCTTTATAGGACTTAAGTTAGAAATTAAAGTCTAGTTATAGCTTAGGGAAAAAGAGATATCTACCCTTACTAAACTTATTAAATCAGTGATTAGGGTTGATTCCATCCTATTTAAAAATAAGCTTAATAAATAGGGAAAGATACCTAGATACTAACCTAATTATAGGAGACTATAATATTCTATAGATTATTATAAATTATAATCTATAGAGATAGATAAACTCTAGAAAGGCGATTAAGCCCTGAGAAAGCCTAAGAATTTTAAGAAAAATATAGGAAATTATTTTAAATATGGCTAACCAGGATATTTTACCTAAAATTATTTGAAACTTAAGAAACAATTAATTAAGACTTTAGGAACTGGTATATAAATATAGAAGATTACTATATTTAAGAAAGGCTCTTATAATATCTATTAATAGAAATTAAATTAAAATATAGGACTGTAGGATAAAATAGCAATATAAGAAATATTAGAATAATATCCTGATATTTAGATAAATATAATTTATAAATTCTACTAGGTATTACTAATTAGCTATTGTGAGGTCTAGGATTACAGATTCTGGAAGTATAATAAAAATAGGGACTTAAG